TAATACTGTTGCTTTAAATTATATTGACTGTAATATCAAATCAAATCTATATTTATATATATAGTATTGGGCAAAAGTTTGAAAACATTACTATTTGTAATGTTTTTGAAAGTCCTTATGCTGCTCATCAAGCATTTATTTGAAAAAATAAAAAAATAAATAAAACAGTAACATTGTGAAATATTTTTACAATTTCAAATAATGGTTTTCTATTATTATATACTTTAAAATGTACTTCATATCTGATACAAGACTGAAATTTCTTCAGCCATGACAGACTTTAGCCTTTAGTCTCACATGACCCATCAGAAATATATTCGAATATGCTGATTTGACACTCAGTTATTATCAATGTGGGAAATATTTGGAAATCATATATTTTTCATGATTTTAATGGCATAAATCTTTACTACCATTTTTCTAAATCAATTGAACACATCCTGTCTGAATAAAAGTATTTTTCTATTTAAAAAAAAATAATAATTTTGACCCCAAACTTTTGAACGGTAGTGTATTGAATACAATACAGTGTATTAAATAGACTTCCAGTAATATTTCACAATATTACTGTTTTTTTCCTGTATTTTAGATCAAATTAATGCAAGCTTAATGAGCATAAGAGACTTCTTTTAAAGAAACATTAAAAATAGTATTGTTTCCAAACTTTTGACTGGAATGTATGTATGCATATATCATCACTCTACCAATAGCTCCCTACCTGGCATTTTCTGTAAGCTTCTGCAAGAAAACCCTTAGCGTGTCTTTGACATCAGGTGATATTTGATCCTCTAAAACGATAGATTTCATAACAGCATCAGCTTGCCCCAAAGAAAGGTTTATAATCGTCATAGTTCCCAGTATCAGACTTGTCAACTCAAAGCGGTTTGTGCACTTCCATGTGTAAATTCATTCTACAGTGAGATCCAGGATCATATGACATGATTAGCGCACGCTTGCGCCCCCTACCCTCATGACTGTATGGTAAACCTAACGTGCGTAGCTAATGGCTACACTGTTGCCTTTTGCTGGCTTAGCTAACAGAGCATGTATCTGTTATATACTATAATATCCGCACTTTTGTGCTTTTTGATATTGAAATGGATGAAACGGAGGAGGTATTGTATGGATGTGAAGAGGTTAGATGGAAAAACGGTTCTTATAACAGGTAAGAGTACTTTTGGCTTTATATTTCTGGCTATAAGAGTAGCATCTCATTCATTGTTACATGATTGACAGTAAAGTGAATGAATGTTGATACAGGTCATACAGGTAATATTTTAATAAAAATATTTTAAAAAGCCACACCTTCAGGTAAAGCTAAATCACATTGGTATGAATCATGTCACGCTGTGTTATTCTGGAATCTGTATTGTCCTGTAAGGGAGAGCCATTCATTCCTATTATGACTGAGATGTTTGAGACTGTATGTTTCAGGTGGAAACTGCGGTATTGGGAAGGAGACTGCTGTGGCATTGGCTTTACGAGGTGCTCGTGTGATCATCGCCTGCAGAGATGAGGAGAAAGCGAGAAAGGCCGTTCGAGAAATCAAAGGCAGGAGCCACAACATGAATGTGCTATATATGGAGCTCGACCTGGCCAATATGAGGTCCATACGAGAGTTCTGCAAAACATTCCTACAAAAGGAGAAGCGGCTGGATATTCTGATCAATAATGCAGGTGATAATTGATGATTTTATATAGGCTATATATATATATATATATATATATATATATACAGTATATATATATATATATATATATATATACACACAGTACTGTGCAAAAGTCTTAGGCATGTTAGTATTTTCACCCCAAATAATGGTTTTGAACCAATGAAATATATTTTGTTGTAGTGTGTCAGTAGGAAATATCGGTTTACATTTCCAAACATTTCCATGTGCATTTTGTATGCACAAGGAGTCTGACAACAGCCGGTGCTCCATACAGAGATCTGATCTCACCATCATCGAGTCCATCTGGGATTACATGTAGAAACAGAAAAAACAAAACAAAAACAGAGACTAAAGAACAGTTCCAGAAGAAATGTGGCAACATCTCCAAGATGCCTGAAGAAAATATGCAAACAAAAATCTCACTGGATTATTACAAAATAATGGCAAAAGGAATGTTTGAAAATGAAAAAATATTTTTTCTACTGAAATACTTCAGGAAAATATATAAATAACCAGCTTAAAACAAAACATTTTTGGGTGAAAATACTAACGTGCCTAAGACTTTTGCACAGACTGTATATAAACATTTTCACTGTATAAATTAAGTCTTTATGCATCAATATATAACCGTCCCTCACACAAATATCATCATTTTTCGTTATATGTGGCATCTAAGGGTGTTTTCATTCTTGTAGTTAGGTTCACTTGACTTGTTTCGTCCGGACCAAAAAAAACTAAAACTTTTAGTCCTTCTCATTGGCATTTTTAACATCAAACCTAAAGGCACAGGGATATAATCAAAACCTGATTGGTCAGCTTTTATGATGTATATTTTGTGAGTGAACTTACCACTCGCTGTATGTGCGTAGCCTACATATGATGGCATTTTGACCAGCTGAGATCTCATGAAGAGCTTACAAAATGTGTGAAGGAGTCAAAACAGCGGCATGAATCCCTCTGTCACACAAATCTGCTGTGAGGAGAGACACGGTTCTGACGCCTGTACCTATGTAACTATGATGAGAAAAATTGGTACGCTTGCGCATTCTGTCCTTTTTAGGGTCGCATCTTGTGACATCATGTCCCGTTTTTGGTTCGTTTACATGTCTTTGGCCCATGTTCCATTCATATTTCATTCGAACCGAGTTAATTTGGAAGCGTACCTTTCAGCGGTCTCGGCCCGCTTGTTTGGTGGAGGTTTGAAAGCCTCTAGTCTGAAAGACTCAAAATCGCTATTTCCCCTCAGGTATGCCCAGCGTTCTCGACTGGACCGATGACAACTTCTCCATGTGCTTTGGCGTGAACCACCTGGGCCACTTCTTACTGACGAACCTTCTTCTCCTGCGACTGAAAGAGAGCGGCCCGAGCAGAGTGATCAATCTCACCTGCTCCAGCTACAAGTACCAGAGGCTGGACTTCCAAGATCTCAACTACAACCTGTTCCCGTTCTTCACTTACTGCCGCAGCAAACTGGCCAACATTTACTTCACACAGGAGCTGGCTCGCATGATGGAGGGGAAAGGAGTGACTGCGTTTGCCGTTCACCCTGGTGAGATCTAAAATATCGACGGACTTTCTCATTTTACAACTGTGAAAAAGGTTGCTACAGTAGGAACTGATCATTGTGTCTTTTGTCTCTTTCAGGTTACGTTCAAAGTAGCTGGACCAGTCATTACTCGATTCTGTACCGGATCCTTGTGCAGGTGGTGATGTTCATGTTTTTTGTCTCGTGTGAGGCTGGGGCGCAGACGGTGGTCTATTGCGCTGTCTCAGACGAGGTGCTCCCACACAACGGAGGATATTTCACCGACTGTCAGCCGGCTCCTCTGCGAGCCTTCGCTAGAGATTCTGGAGTAGCAAAAAAACTCTGGGAGGCCAGTGAGAGACTAGTTAAACTGGCATGATAACGATTTATAACTAAGATATTAGAATGCCTTTTTTTGTTGTTTATAAGCAGACTGTTTATGTTATTTATGGAGTTGACTGTGTGTGTGTTTTTTACAGCATAATTTATTTGGTTGTGACTGATGTGGTTATTAAACATGCAATATTGAAAAGGACCTATTTCACATTTCTGGATTCTCAGAAGCAGAGGGTGGTGATGGCACAGTGGATGAGACACATGCCTTTGGTGTGAGAGACCCCGGTTGTGAGGCACCAATGTGTCCCTGAGCAAGACGCGTAACCCCTAGTTGCTCCAGAGGCGTGCGACCTCTGACATTTATAGCAATTGTAAGTCGCTTTGCGATAAATGCGTCAGCTAAATGAATAAATGCAAGTCGTCATCAATATTCAAGAAACATGCACACGATTCTTCAGTATTTAAATCATCTCATTTATTTATATCTTTTGAACACATTTGCTTAAGTTAGGGAATACACAGAGCATGTTTGAGAACAGAGCAATAACAAGAGTAAGAATCATCAGAAATCAAAGAGAACATTATCTTATACAGAAAAACAAAACTAACAGAGGGTTACTGTGAGAAAACTCAACTTCAGAGAAACTATCCAGTACGGTTTCCAATCAGAAAAAATGACGTGACGGGTGGAATGGAAACAGTCCTGTGCTAAAAGACGGACAGTGTTGTTGGTGCAGGTGGAAATACTCTGGATCTCTGTTATCTACCGAGCAGTAATTGTTAAGTTAGTCATAAAAGACTGATAAAAGTCAGAAACAATTGGCCATTCAGGTTTGGTGAGCATCCGCAAAGCACAAATAGCAGAACTATGTCACTGCCAATATAAATTTAGCTTAAAATGATTTTTGAAAAACTCATGCATATTTAGCTAAAATTGCAAGTGCTTCTCTGAAGTCAAGCAGTCTCATACTAATAAATAATCTTATAGTCGTTAATATAAACATCAGTCACCCAGCATTGACAACAATGAGCTTAATACAAAAGCATGCCGTAGAAATATCACCATTTCCATAATCTTAATATCATCGACATTTCGTAGCTATGGTATTCGTCATTTACACTGCCATTGTCAGCATCATTTTGGGACAAAAATATTATATATATATATATATATATATATATATATATATATATATATATATATATATATATATATGCACTTAACAAAGCTGTTAAAACAGATAAGAGAAAGGTTTAGGTAAACCAGCATTCAATAGAAAAATGAAATCAAAAAAACAAATACCACCAAACCTACTGTTCAAGTGACTATCATGCAAAGAAATTCCAGCTGAAATGCAAGTAAACTGCAGTTTCAATACTGTGTGTCCTGTTTTAATAGTGATGTGCACTTTCATTCGTTAACATGTTTATTTCATTGCTAATCACACAGAGAACAGTACACTTTGTACATGCCGTTTTATTTATTTTTTTCCTCATTTTGTCTTTTTTTAAGGGAGTTGACAGGTGTGATACTTATATAAACACAAGTGAAGTCTTGCATGAGATAAAGCATCCAAGAATGAGACGCAACTGTAACAGAAGCAGGACACCGGAGCACAAACACACGTACACGTGCCTCACGGGGGTCGCTTTGTTTGGAAGAAGCCTTTTGATTGGATTTGAAAAATTCTGTCTTTTTATCCTTGTGAAAAGCGTTTCAGACTATTTCCTTCAAATAACACACACACACAAAAAAGATCAGTAGTCATCATCGATATGACACGTGGCTCAAAAATAGTGAGTTTGAACATGAAGCAAAGTGTGCGACGCACACAAAATTAAGAATCGCGTAGAAAGTTGCGGTAATATGATCAAATAAATAAATACAACCTGAGGACACAATTAGTATACGAGTCTATATAAGGTCAATAAACTAGTCACATGACCACTGACACGTCCGTTCACCATGATTACAAGCCTTCAAAAACAGACTGAAACCAGCGTGTGACGTACACTTCATAAACTGTTTCTTACCATCTTCTGATTTATAAAACTATTGCTGCCGAATTTGACTATGAACCTTTGCATCACTCTTGAACACTTTGCCCATCCAAAGGGTAAACAATCTTTAAAAAGGTAACAGGTCCAAGGTAACAAATTTCACTCTCCTTAAAAGTCAATATATATATAAACTCTTCAAAAATAGAATGAGTAATATTGATCATAGTGTACACCATATGTTGCAAAAAATATAAATGAAGAAACACAAAAGCAAATAAACTATGCAACTCTGTACGCTTAAACCTACCAAATTCTTCTGCGTTTACCAAATTTTACGAATTCATTGAACCAGCTGGTTTTTAATGGCCTCTAATAACTCTAAACCTACACTAAAAAGCATAGAGATACAATACCCACTTTGAGAACAAACTGAATGATGTGATTGGAGTGAGAACACTTGAGTGATATTGGTATGATATTGGCATGTTTAGCTGAGGTACGCTTTTTATTCAGGTTTGATTCAGTCCATCCAACTGTACAGGTGGTTTTCTAATACCGCTGGTTCAGATGAAAAAAATATTTTTTAAAATTGCTAACATCTAATACTAATTTAATGTCACATGTGACCTAAAGCATGATTGTGGCTTTCTGAAAACCAGGAATTGCTCTTTCAATATAAAGTACGCCAGCTGAAATCTGATGAATTACTTCAAATCTGTGCTAATGATGCGAGAAATAAAGCTGGAAGACCCCGAACGTCACGCCGTTCTCGATTAGGCTCTGGTGGGATCTGCCCCAAAACAGACACACGTACCAACGTTCGAACACACATGGACAGACCGACGCATCGGTTGGATGTGAATCACATTGAGAAGCCTGTACATAAACGCAGACCATCATTTCTCCATATCACCACGGAAATGGTTCATGGTTCAAAAAATTCATGCTCTCTAAAAATGTTTAGAAAAGAAAAGTCTTACATAAATTAAAAATCATTGGCATTCAGAACATGATTGGTATAAGTGACAATTGTTTTTGTATTTAATACTAATAACAACAGTAAGAACAATAGTAGTAATAATAATAATAATAATAACAACAATTATATTGAAAATCTACACTAAGTGAGGACGGCGATTCAGTGTAACGTTATTCACACTGGGAAGATGCGACGGAAAGCGTGGTGTTTCACAGACGACTCGCTGAGGCCTTATTATCCGTACTAATCAAAGACTGTCCAACTCCACACAGCACATGTGCACAACAGGGGGAGTCTCTGCGCGGGTGTAAAGATACAGGGCAGGGAGGGAGGGGGTCAAGTGGAAGGTAAGACAGAAGACGACGCACAAAAGTGATTGGCAGGTGAGGTGATTGACAGGCGAGGGGGCCGGACCCAGTGTGCAGACTCACAGACACCCAGCACTGGGCTCGCATTCCTTCCTCCCTCTCTCTCTCTCTTCAACTTCCCCCCTCCCTCACTCTTGCACTCTCCGTTTCTGGCTGGACACTCTTGTTAGATGTGGCTACAATGAGCTCAACCTGTGGAAAAGAAAACGTGTAAACTCACCGTGTCTTTAGTATGAACAACAACAAAATTGTTTCCGAGAAATGGAGCTAGCTGTCATAAGAGTTTCCGAGGTTTAATGTGATCTTCATAAAACAAAAAGTTATTTTTATTATTAATATATATTCATATATAAATTATACATGAAATATGCAAGTTTTTTGTACATTTTTTTAAAAATGAAAAAGGATGCATTACAATTACCAAAATTGATAGGAAAGAAATTCAAATGTCACAGAAAATTATATTTCAAATAAATGTTTTTTTTTTTACTTTCTATTGATCAAAGATTCATGGGAAAAAAGTATCACAGTTTCCACGAAAATACAAAGCAACAAAACTGTTTTAAAAATTGATAATAATAAGAAATGTTTCTTGAGCAGAAAACCATAATATTAAAATGATTTCTTGAGGATCATGTGACACTGAAGACTGGAGTAATGATGCTGAAAATTCAGCGTTCCCATCACAGGAACAAATTTTTATATATATATATATATATATATATATATATTTTTTACACTTTTACTGTAATCAAATAAATACAGATTTGGAAGCCGTAAGATACGTCTTTCCAATACATTAAAAAAATCGTACAAAACTTTTAACAGTAGTGTTTATATATTTTCTATTAATCAGTTATTTTAATAAAATTACCCTAATTGAGAAACTTATTCTTTTGACTTTTTCCTAAGTAATGAAAAAAAAAAAAAAAACTGTGGTAAATAATAACATTCAAGGGACAAGACAACTACTGTATATAATGAAGATTTTAAGTTTGTTTGAAGATTTTAAAGTTGTCACACATGCTTAACATTTTATTTTATGTTTACTTTTGTTTGAAAGCAATTTGAATTTATTATTTGAACTTTTTCATTTGTGCCATCTCATGAATTCCTTTGTTTCATAGCTGTTAAATTGCAGAAATGGCATTAACATTCAATCAACACATTTTTATGATAATTATGTATAATTTACATTTAAAATAAATGTGGCTAAAATGGCATATTTAGTCAAAAACAGATGGTACACACTATGACAACATGCTCTGCTACAGGCGTGTTTCTGGATTTGGTTGTGTTGTGAAAATGATGAAGATGTTTTATTCATTTGCGGGTGTTTATCTGTAACTTGAATCAAATCCACCCTGATTGAGAAACTTTTTCGTTTATCTTTGTTTGTGCTTTATCAACGTGCAGTAACACTAGTGAGAGACTCTCCACTTCATAATACAAAAGTGAGACCCATGTTATTGCCCAGGCATACCTTCACTGGAGAGGGGCGGCCGGAGCTCCCGAACAGTGGAAATGGACATTTTGCCATTTGGAGTCCCGGCGATGCCACACCCTCGTCTCTTCTGATTGGCTGCTGCGCGGCCGGCCCTGCCCGTCCACATATTGTGTGAGGCGGATATAGGCAATGCAGGCGGCCTCCTCTCCAATCAGGTGCACGTGAGGGTTCAGGATGGTGGTGTGGATAGGCTTACTGTTCTTAGACAGCACTGACAGAGCATAAAAACAGCCACACTTTAGAACATACCGTACTTCATGACCAACTGGCTAAAGGTGAACAGCAATGCGACTCAACTTACAGTTCTCGAAGTAAAATCTGTGGAAGTCCATCCCCTCCACCAGGTTTCCCAAGGCCTCCGGTTCAAAGCAGGTGAGTCCAGGGTCGCAGATCTTACTGAAAGGAATTAAAAATACTTCCAGTGCTATAACATTTTGTATTTACGGTCATTTGTGGCTAAATAAAAATCTAAAATACACCTCACACACAAGCAACTTACGCATAGGCTTCAAAGTCGCCATTGTTGATGGCCTCAATAAGTTGTTCTGTGATTTTGATGATCTCCTGTTTGCGTACTGTAGGAGGAGGAAGTCAAGTGTCAGGTTTGAGAGGAACTTCTCAAAATTCTCTTGTACGAGCATTATTTGGAAGCAAAGTTGCATCTTTTAAAACACACCAACATATATTCCACGGGTTTCCTCTAATTCTTTCAGCAGACTCGTTTTTAATCAGTCTTGTTGCATCAGTACACACACAAGCTGCTGTGTTAAACAAGGCAGAAGCACACACATAAAAAACAGGTTGTCTGAAAATCCACCCAAACAGATTTCAGCCACCTACACTACATGATTTCACACACACCATTTCCTTTCCAGCTCTGTTAGTCACAGGACTAAAACAACTAAATAGGACAGCTCAGATAACTGAAGGTTAAAATAACACTCAATCACTACAGGCACAGTTAAAAGACTCTCGGTATAACGGTTTACATCTGATATTAAGATCAGTCTCAGATGGTCCGATCACAATTTGTCAATGGGTTTGTTTAAAATTGAGATATTTTGCATATAATGGAGAGAAGGAAAGAAGCAAAAATAAATAGCATGTTAAAAAGGTTTAATGTGATCTTCACAAAACAAAATGCTATTTTATTATTATTAATCAATCAATATATTCATATAAACTATTCATTAAATATGCACTATTTTTTTTGCATTTTTAAAATTGTATTTAAAAAGGATGTATTCAAATTTCCAAAAGTGATAGGAAAGACAATTAAAACATGTCACAGAAAATTATATTTCAAATAAATGTTTTACTTTCTATTGATCAAAGATTCATAAAAAAAAAGTTTCCATGAAAATACAGTATGAAGCTACAAAACTGTTTTTCAAAATTGATAATAATAAGAAATGTTTCTTGATCAGAAAACCATAATATTAAAATGATTTCTTGAGGATCATGTGACACTGAAGACTGGAGTAATGATGCTGAAAATTCAGTGTTGCCATCACAGGAACAAATTTTATTTTAAAATATTTCAAAATGTAACTTTCTTTCTTTTTTTTTTCTTTTTTTTTTTTTACACTTTTACCGTATCAAATAAATACAGATTTGGAAGCTGTAAGATACGTCTTTCAAATACAATTAAAAAATCTTACAAACCTTTGAACTGTAGTGTTTATATATTTTCTATTAATCAGTAATTTTAATAAAACAACCTAATTGAGAAACTTTTGACTTTTGTGCTTTATCAACATGCAATAACACTAGTGAGAGACTCAAGAGTGCCATATTTAAGACCCATGTTCTTGCCCAGGTGTGAGCGATGTGATCGAATGACCAGAGACATCAACACTGTGTGCATGTTAGTCCACTAGCATCATTGCTGCCTTTTTACACTCCCAGGAAATAAAAAAAACCCTCATGCTGCTGTGCCAGTGATGCCAGCACAGACACTGACACCACATACTCACAATGCGCTGACGGCAGGGGGCTCGAGGGCGGTTGGGCAGGGGACGGGGAGGGGTGTGATGGGACAGATACTGGGGCAGTGAGGGCTTTGCTGGCTGCTGATGGCTCACTGTCTGTCTGGGGGGCTGTAGGTCTGCGCACACTGCTCACTAGATCAGTCAAACGTGACACTGGAGTTTGCCGATGCATTATTGCCAAAGGCAGATGACAGAAAAAGAACATGCGTAAACAAGCTAGTTGCTAGAAAACATGATGAATTAAATATACATTGAGTGACAAGTTTGCAATGAAAACCAGACTCGGCAACTTCCTTAGTACAACCTATCTGCAGACTGGCCCATCAGGGAGGGACTTACTCTGTGTGGGAATGTTTGGGGTCTGGGGAGTGGAGGGGGCAGAAACTACAGCTGGAGTGATAGTGTTTCCCCCCTCAACATCAGATGTGGGCACCGAGCCCCGACGTACCACACCCAGCAGATCAGTGAACCTAGTGGCGGCTGTGGGCCCAGACAGGGCAGGACAGAAATAACAGTGGAGAATGGAGATGAGCTTAGAAGAGGAGAAAAGAAACGTTCACCTAAAATTGAAATCTATTTCATCATTTACATACGCGTCATTTCAAACATTCAAAACTTTTTGGGTACGATTTTCAGTGAATAATGACATTTCAGTCTTTCCCCTCACACAAATCTACCACATGGCTTCATTAAACCTAAAACATGATTTATCATATGGATTGCTTTCATGATATCTTTATTGTGTTTTTTTAAATCTTTTTTTGGAGCAAGGATGACAGAATTTTCTGTTTCTTTCTCTGTCTCTCTTTTTAATTGAACTATCCCTTTAAATAAATCCGGAGAAACCATTTGAAATCGATTAAACGATCAGAACACCGAAAACGATTAGATTAGGCTTGATTAAAAACAATTAAGTATCATGTTTTCCAAAAAAGAACAGAAAGTAATAATCCTCACTGGTACTAATGGGTGAATAATATGACAATAATACTTAACGGCACTAATTTACTTTTTACTTCTATCAGTCTCACACACATGCACAAGGAGATGATGGGAAAGTGGGTGATGTCACTGCAGTCAGAGGGCACTTACTGAAGACAGCGGGGGAGGGGCCTGGAGGTGTGTGGGCGGAGTCAGGCTGGGTGCTGGGGTTTGACTGAACTGAACTGTTATCTACAGCCTTTCCTGTGACACGCCCCCCCAAACAATGCACATGAGACACAGAAAGCATGGGTCAAATTTATATCAATAAGGTTTTTGCAGCCATTCCCAAATCCATTGCCAGAGGAGCCAGATCCCTTCATGTCACGGGTGGCGATTCCAGCCAAGTGTTACTTCAGTGTAGACGACAGACAATTGAAATGCAATACAAAGATTGGTAACACTTTATTTTGATGGTCCCCTTTGAACATTCTGTTGACTATAAGTAACTTTGCAACTACATGTCAATTAACTCTCACTAGAGTATTAGTAGACTGCTTAATATCTGCCAGTTGTGATACTCCTCCAACAGACAATTATACTGACTATAAGTAACTTTATAACTACTTAATCAAGCCCTAACCCAACCAGTTTACTAATACTTTACTAACACTCTAGTTAGAGTTAGTAGAGATGTAGGTGCAACATTACTTACTGTATAGTCAACTGAATGTGTTAAAGGGACCATAAAGTGAAACCCAAAGATCCTATTCTTAATCCGTGTCTTTTTCTGGCAAAAATCAAAAGATTCTTAAAGAAATAAGTCACTCAAAAAATGAAAATGTTAAAAAGTTTGGTTACGAGACACTTTCCAATTTACCCGAGAAGCAAGTTGGACATAATATTAAGACTTGGTTCTAGATAATATATCTTGAATATGACTGTACTATATTTGGTCTTGTTGAAAACTGCTTGTTAACTAAGAAAGACTGAGCAAAAGATGACCACCCAAAATGAATCAAGCAGTCCACTGAATTATATTGAAACATAATATATTAACACAACAAAGCTTTACAAGATCAAAACAATAAACATGAGGGCCATAAAGAGCATGCTAGCAGGTAGCAGATATCAAGATGTTGCTTCAGAGAACATATTCAGAGTTTGAATAAATTCTTATTAACAGTCATAATAAATCGACTAAACTGTTATTCAAACAGATACTCCTTACAGTCAAGCTAGCATAGATGTTATAAAGCAAACCTCTCACAGCTGTGCCATAATTCATCACTCAACTATTGCAGCCAGATATTTCCCAACACTATCTACAAGTAACACACACACACACCCTTCTCACCGTCTCTTTTGTGTGATCTCGAAAACAAGACATCACGCTCCTGTCATGCACCCTGTCTGCCCAGAAATTTGGCGGCAAGTTTTCTCCTCATACACACATGCTCACACACATGCTCTGAAATAGCCAGGGTCTCTGTTTCCCACTGAGGTTAATTATAGCACAAGGTGCCCTTGTCTTGTTCTGGGGCAGAGAGAGCTGACACAGACGCTGAAAGTAGGAGCGACACCAACACAGAAGTGAGCACTGAAAGAGCTCAGCCTAAAACTGTTCACTATGTGGCAGTCTAACATTAATGAACAATCAAGTGAATCTAAAATGTTTAGACTTTCGTTCATCTTCTTCATTACACTACCATTTAAAAGTTTGGGTGCAGTAAGATTTTTATGATTTTTAAGTCTCTAATGCTCACCAAGACTGCAAATATTTGATCAAAAATACAGTAAAAGCAGTAATATTGTGAAATGTTATTACAATTTAAAACAACTTTTTTCTGTTTTAATATATTTTGAAATGTATTTATTGGCAAACCTTATTTTTTTACTCTTCAGTAGCTATCTATCCATTTTTATGTGCATTTCAGGATCCTGGATTAAAAAAAAACTGGATGGAAAGGTCAAGATTAGTATACATTCTAAAAATGTGCATAAAAACGTATGCACTCAATTGAGGCCAAACTACAATGGAAACACATTTACTGTATACATCTCTCGATGAGCAACAAAAACCTCACTTGACTTTGCTTCAACAGAGGATGTGATTGGATAGACATAGCGGATCAATGTCACTGCACAGCATCTCAAATGCTGGTTTGGTGTTGGTGATCCTGAAATGTCATCTGATTTGGTTTAATTCCCTCCCAGAAGGGAACATCTCATATGACTGTGCTCCCAGACACCGGACATCCGATCACAAGATAACATGGCAGCATTATTTCATTTCGTCTGCCAGTTTATAGTGTTTAGGTGCAAGTATGATGTTCTCTTGAACAGATCGGATGGAAAACACAGCTTTATTTGCAAATGTTTTATGTGCTATTCCAATTCTGAAAAAGTTAATTTTGCAACTTTGAATGGAAACATAGCTAGTGTCACATGATACTTCAAAAATCGTTCTAATATGCTAATTTTGTTTCTCAAGAAAATTATCATTATCTTCAATGTGGTCATATTTTTTTAAATAGGTTTTTAAAGAATCGAAAGTTTTAAACTAGATTTGAAATATAATTCTACATGCCTTTACTGTCACTTTAGTTTAATTTAATGAATCCTTGTCGAATAGAAGTATTAATTTCTTAAAAAAATCTTTCTCACCCAAAACTTGTATGGTAGAGTAAATCTGATTTGTTACTCAAATCTGATCTTTAGGACTGACTGTTTGCACTGTAATTATGCAAAATCTGATTTTGAGTTTGTTCCAACGGTGTAGACAATACCCCTATCTACATTGGTTGCCATAGCAACGATTTAAAGGGATAGTTCAACCAAAAAATTTAAATTCAGAAATGATGTACTCACCCTCATGTACTTTCAATCTACGACTTTGTTTCTTCTGCATACCACAAACTCACAAAAGAAGATATTCTAAAAAAGTGTTTTTAGTCTATAATGTCAATGGAATGCAATGTTGTTTTGGTCACAACAAACTTTCATTGTATGAACAGTTCAAAATCTCTTTTTTGTGTGCGTGTTCTGCCGAAGTAAGCAAGCCATACAGTTTTCGAACAGCATGAGGGTAAGTAAATGATTACAGAATTAATTTTTTTTAAGTGAACTATCCCTTTCACATCAGCACAATGTGAAAAGACATAAGAAAGCAGACTGAACAAAAATCATGTCATTTTTGCAGTTCGAACTACAAATAACTAATCAGAATTTTGCTGCCTGTCTGAATAAAACCATCGAACTCTTTGCTGAAGAGTTGGAGTGTGTGTTGCTCCATACAAATGTTGATTGTTGTGTCTTACCTTTCATTTCCTCGTCCTCCACTGTGGCATTACTGCTGTCCGACGACTCCTATGACATTCAGACACAGAGCACAAATCAGTTTAGCAATATATTAACATTTTTCATAATGAATACCGACTAGTGCCAAAGTCCACACTCTCGTTGCCATACACACACACACCATAAATTAATATAAACTGCAGAACTCTGGGGAATCACACGATTAACCAATCAATGATGCATGACAATGTCAGCACGACTGTTAGAAAAAGCTTGTTATTATAATTGTTATAATCCTACTCACATACAAGAATATAATACACAAGCCACGCCTCTACTGAGTATAAAAGTAATGAACTCAATACTCTTTTCCTAATTTCATAACATCCTGTGCTGAAATCTGAGAGATGGGTTGCGCTAATGAGATGAATACTGAAAATTCTTCCACTATCAGCATGGGTATGAGGAAGAGACTAATACAAATACAACACATTCTTGGCCTCCAGCAGTCTTCTTTACTGCAGTGCATACTGAATACACATTTATTCTGCATCATGTGAATTCATGTTCATTTGAGTAAATATGATTTGTAGGGTCTTACTTTAAAAAAAAAACAAACACACAAAGCGTGGATATAAAAGTGCACTATTACTAGGGAAGGTTGCATGATGTTCTAATCCTCGAAAGCCATGAAAAAAAATATAACTACAAAGGTAAAAGGAAAAACACCTGAGACATTACATAAGGCTTCACTTGCCGTGTGTATAAATCAGTGTTATTATTGTTAACTAAAACTATTAAAACATTTTGGCAATTGAAAAAAAAAAAATCTTAAAAATGAAAAAAGTAAATAAAAATAAAAAATCCAGATTTAGCCTGTCATGTAAATAATAATGTATACTGTTGGACTATGCAGTTTATTGTATCACTAAATTACTATGTTCACTAGATGATTGTATGATAAAAATATTGGGTCACCACTTGAAAGTCCTAATGCTAGGACTCATAACGTTTGTCAAGGAAAAAAAACGTTTAAATATGTCATTTTGGTGATCAAAGATGAGTTTTCTGAATATATTTTAATTAGTTTTACCACAGAAAGAAGGCACTGGAGGTCATGAAGTCACAGCTGAGAGATGCAACAACACCTTGAAGCAGCAAGTGTTTACACACACTACTGCACATTCTCTCGTATATCTCATTGCTCAATTGAATGCATCGACAGAATAATGTCTCAATAGGAAACAAGGAGGAGGGCATGGTCACCTGAGAAACGGGACCATGCACCTGTCACAGCGTAACCGTGACGATCACCAAGGACACCAACTCCTGCTGTAAATAGGCCATCAGTATGTGGGGCGATATATTTAGGCGCTCCTGAAAAGACTTTTGTTCTCTCATTCCGTCATTTACACTGCACTACAGACCTTGTGACACCTGTACAAAGAAAGTGGCGAACGTGGAGATTGTGGACAGCTTACCATGCACAGCTCAGATTAAGCCCAATTCAGAAATCACACAGAGCAGCAAGCAACCGCTGACAGAACAACCCAGATCTAGACTTTACTACTGCCACCTGGGAAACTCAAAGTCCTAGTGTTGACTATGTGGACATGTGACATCATCACATTTGATTCTACATCCACTTGCCTCAGAAAAATCTGTACATTTGAATCTTTCTAAAAGTTTTTATCCTAATAACAATGTGTTAAATTAATATAACCTCAGAATAATATTTTCTTTGCTGTCGAAATACAGGCACAAATCAACATTTACATTGTATTGATTGATATACTGTAGTTAAACTTATAAACTGATTAATTATTATAAGGGATAGTTCACCCAAAAATTTGAAATCATTTACTGACCCACAAGTTGTTACAAATCTGTATGAATTTCTCTTTTCTGTTGTTGAATTTTTGAATAATATGGGTAACCAAACAGTCAACGGTCCCTATTGTCTCCCATAGTACGTAAAATAGTCAGTCAATGCTGCCCATCGACTGTTTGGATACCCATATTCTTCAAAATATCTTTTTTTGTGCTAAGCACAAGAGAGAAATGCATACAGGTTTTGAACAACTCAAAAGTGAGTAAATGATGACAGAATTGACATTTTTGGGTGAACTATCCCTTTAAATAAAATAATTGTTATTCTTCTCAGCACAAACTTGCATCTTTCAATTATTAAAATTGAGTAATCAGAAGGCACAATTCATAGTGTATTCACAGACCACTCACTTTAAAAGAATAAAAATACCCCAAAAATAGCAATTTCCACAGAGACATTAAACATGTTTTTTGTCAAATATATACAGTATATATATACAGTATATAAATATATTTGTTTCACAACTTGCACTTTCAATGTCTACCACAAGAGGTCTCTACGTCACATAGTCCGAATCACAGCCACATAGACCTGAGACAGCAGGTTTAATATTCCTATCATGACACAGATTTCCAACTGTTGCTTTTCAGATTCATACTGCAAACATTTGATGTGTCAAGAGTCATTTCCCATCATCACGATAGTTAATAAAAAAACAATTAAACAAACACGTTAATTTATCTCAAAACTGGCACATACAGAAAGGAGCGTCACACAAACAAATCTACAGTTCAACATGTCATGCGTTTCATTAGGGGAACACGCATACTCATTTGCATACGTTTAGTTAAAACGTGAAACGTTTATATAGAGTACAAGTGCAAGTACACATTAAACTTCAAAAGGGTCGGCCAACAGGCAAACACACGCTCGGATGATGTCATAGTCTGTAGACACATTAGCAGAAATGCATTGTGGGGATGCAGATCAAACAGAGGGCGGATGGTGGGAAGGAAAGATGGTGGCGGTGGGGTACCTTAATCCCATCCACTGCATTATGGATGACAGTGGCCTGTGCCTCCTACAGAGAGACAGGGGAGGAGGGGGTGGAAAAACATGAGGAGAAAAAAGAATGAGAGAGAGAGAGAGAGGCCGTGTGTGGGTGGATGGGTGTTTGTGATTGCCAACCCAGTAAAAATTAACAAACAAAATATGCATGAAAAGCCACCAGAGGCTCAACAACAGAGAGCTTCTGTCTTCATAAAACCAATGACTGCACATGTTAGGCTATGCTATTTCAAAAACACCAACTACGAAGTCAAATTAGCAACGTAACCTATCGCTTTCTCACTGAAAGTGAAACAGCGTGATTTTAACAGAACTACTGTGGATGCTTTCACAGCTTCGAAAAACATGTTTATTTTATGCCGTCTTTTAGCTAGCTAGATACACACCACACTGCATAAATCTGTAATGCACATTTCTCTCTAGCAGGAAGTAACATTCCCTCACTGTCCAATCAGCACCCTGCATTCCCCATCATTATGAGGTATTCATTGCCATGACAACCACTGCCCAGTGCAATAGGCAACACAGAATCTGCAAATGCGAACAAACGACTACTATCATAAAAATAATTCAAAATTGCCAATTCATATCCGGGTATATATAGCCTTACGACAAATGATATTTTAATGGTGTATCTGATTCAATACAATAATAGCGGTGTTAGCGTAAGTACAGCCCTTTTCAAACTCAACACAATGGTTTATCTGTCATCATTAAATAAATTTTTTTTCTAAACATTAAAACATTTTAGCAAAATAATCAAAATATATATTTTTTATATTGAAACATAAATAAAAAGATTATATATATATATATTTCATCATACATTCAGTGAAATCCTTTGTCTCAATAATCAAAATGTAAAATAAAATTATTATTATCATTAATAACCAATAATAATAATTATTATTATCATCAATTATTATTAATGACTTTTTTAGATCTCACATTTAACATTGTGAGTGTCCTTGGTTGTTTGGTTAAAATAATGGCTAAATAATAGACATATCCCTGCATAATTGTACAGTTAAAAGTAAAGCTAGAGGGGAAGCCATGAAACAAAGCACTAAGGCTAAAGTCTTTACAGACCATAAACACCTCCTCACTTCACTTCAAGGTTGAGTAACTATATCTGCACCATAAAACAGGACGGACACACACACACAGGCAGCATTAAAGGGCAACTATGAGGGATCCTAAAATATGTTGATGTATTAGGCCACGTGTTGCAATAGCTGTATAAGTTGGAACGCATGTAATGTTTCTATTAGGAGCTTCCTTCTTCCATACTCAGGGTTCACTCGAAAACCTATTTACTGAGCTTTTACAAACCACAAACATCCACTAAAGTCTCCTCAGAACACAGACTATCTATCTGTTTCACTTAAGCATGTCATTTACCCACAAACCTTGTATAATGACACACTGTTTTATTAGGTTTCCTGCCAGCTCCATGTAGTAAACAACCTTCATCATTCACAGATCTACGGAGACACTGAAAAGCAAAGTGGCATTATGCAATCAAATAAACAACCCCATAAATACGTGCTTAGAGAGTATAGTGATATATCAGAGTGACAGAGCACAACTGGATAAACAGAGCTTAACTGGGTCCATGGACCGATCCATTAAACATACTGTATATGGCTGAATCAGGAATAGTGTGGCGCCTTTAAGTATTTAAAGGGGTCAGGAACTACATTTTGTTCAATTTTCTCTGAGGTCCACTTATGTTATCTGAAAACATAATAATTTAGAAGAAACAAGCTATTTTCTATCCTGTGTATGTTCCAAACACTTCATTTCGAGGAGTGCCGCATTCAAGACTCGGAAGTTAACGCCCACTGCTATGATTGGGTAACCGTTTTGCATATTCAAATAATTTCAACGTCCACGGCATTTTACACGTGTGGAATTGTTTTGAAAAGTTCTGATGAAAAATATCTCGTTACATAGTAACAACATTCGCCAACAATGTGAAATATTTATGCATATTAAATAAATATTGGTTGAAGCAAATTAAGTTTTTACTTAAAGTACTTTTTAGTTTCCACAGTTTTTTTTTTTAAAGGATGACCTACGGTGTTTCGTGTAAACAGAATTGTGAATGAATGTACTGTTGGTTTTTTTAGGCTATTCAGTTCATTCTTTTAGATTAAGTGAAAAATGTATAAATTGGCATTTGCAGTGGCGTGTTTTAAATAAAATAAAAAGTGTTATAATATAATTACTGATGAAAAAATACTTGGCATGTATAATTATAATCTTGAAAAAATCTTGTAATCCTCAGAAGCATCTGTATCGTTTTGTTGCTGGAGTCTCATTTATTACATGAAAAAAGTCATTTTCTGAGCTTGGTTTCAATAAAAGCTAGAATAATAAGATTGAGATGTGAAATTTACAGGATATTTGTATAGTACAAAGACCTTTATAGAAAATATGATTTCTCAATTCATGACCCCTTTAAATAAAGTCGCTGATATTTCACTTGGTGCAATTAGCATTGGTTAAAAAGAATTTTATAAGAGATACTTGCCAATAAAATGAATGATTAGACAGATCAGGCATTAGACATTTAAAATGTTACATTTAGAAAACTTCTATTTCAAATAAATGCTGCACATGTACACATGGGAACTGTACTGCTCAGGACTGTTAACATTCAACTCAACTGACATCAACACTAGGCCCAGTGGGTTTAAGCGAGGAACACCATTAAGGATCTCAGTGAACCAGACAACATCCACTTCTCAGCACTGCGGCCAGGAAACTGTAAGAACAGTTTAAAGGCTGATTCTTAGAGCCCCAAGAGGAGCTTCTATCCCCAAACCAATCCAGATCCTGTTGATAATGCAGTGAAGGAGAAGCATCATCGTAAAATCACAAAAATAAAACCACACTGCGACCTTTATCAGTGTAGTGAGTGACCCCAAAAGTACAATTGATATGCAAGAATGTCATTAGATAATTAAAGTGCCATGAAATGCCACGAGGTTTAGAAAAAAAGCATTGTTTTTCACAAATACTTTTGTTAGGTTTCAAACTGATATTCTGTTCAAAATGAATGCATATGGACAGCGTTCATCGTTAATGTGAATGACATTCATCATTCTAATATAAACCAAGACCAAGTCCTATCGTATATCAGCCTGTTCTCACGTAAATGGGTCTCTATTGTGTATTGTCGTGTAAATTATACGCGAAAATTAGTTTTTACGTGCATATGAGACGCAGTTTTTCGCATCCATTTGATACGCAGTTCATTTGCGTGTAATACACACGCACTCCACACCACTAATTCTACCCAAACGTATAATACACACACACCCCACCTCACACCTAAACCTATCCAAACCAACCAATGCGCATCATATGCACGTAAAAACTCACTTTAGAGTATAAATTACACGACAATACACATGCGCCATAAAGACGCATTTAGTGAGATCGGGTTGCGTATACTGTATATAACACCAGATCATAACACTCCAAAATAAACATTAATACATAATTTCCATGTTAGCTTATTCAAATCATATTCTTCATTAGTGTTTATATTATCATTTCTATCCATTCCATGTTTTACTAGCGTTAAATTTCACAAATTATTATTATTTTTTTACACAAAAGCTTAAATAGGCGAGTAGCTAAATAATAATAATTAAAAACAAAAAAAACCCCAGACAAAACAATGTAAGAAAACTGAAATATTCACAATGTACTAAAGAATGCAGGTACAGTCACAGACATAGGGGGGAAAGCATGGAGAGGAAGAAAAGAAAAGGATTAGAGGTAAATACCAGAGCAGGAGAGGGGAGGTTTCCTTTGGGACTGGTGACTATGCTGTTTTTGGTGCTGTTTGTCTGGGGCTGTGCAGGGAAACACAACATACGTCCAAGTTAAGAAGGGGTCAGGTTAAAAAGGAACGAGGGAGAGATCAGCATGCACAAATCACACACTCACACAAACACAAGAGGTAGGGTATGGTATGGTCATTATCTATTTTCTAAGGCAACTGATTGATGTAGAAAAACTGTCTTTTACACGAAAACAGCATTATTCTTTGAGACCCAATGTTCTCTAGCGGCGAGAGGAAAGGGAGGGTCATTATTAAAGTCCATAAAATGTTTTTCACCAATTAGGCTTCGTAACTGATCTATTATACCAATTAGCCTCATTACATGCAGAGGCGGATTAGATATGGGTGTTTATTTATACTCGGGGTCCCTCAGGTCTCGTGTCTATGGGCCTTTAGTGGTTTAGAGGTAGTTAACGGTCCTCTTTCCCTCACACAGCTCAGGCACTCATGCGAGAAGTGTCATTAGTACAGTATGTGCCTATGTGTGTGAGGTATGGACAAGAGAGATGAATGAACAGCAGCTCACAACTACTGAACCCTCACAGACAACAAATAAACCCACATACACAAGCACAAACACGTCATTAAGTGACTTTGACACTACTATACACATTCAAATACATACTGTTCCTGACAAGAGGATCACTTGATGGCTAGCAGAATTCCTTAACAATTCCCAAATACTTATTGCAGTAGGTCATGGATCATCTCCATGGAAGTCCAACTTTATCCAAGAAAACGGGATATCTCCAGGAATGTTATCCTCTTACGGGACCCACTCATAAGACAAAAAACAATACTGAGCACCAAAAAATATAAGCGTCAATCCTGCAAATAAATATTAGGTGGGGAATCAAGCAGACACTGGATGAGGGTTTGGTGCAGTCAAACCCCTGGGATGTGCACAAATAGGATCTTCAGACATTTGTAAGAAGGAACTAGGAAAAGAGAGGGTGTTATTCTGCATGTTTATTCCACTGCCTACCTGTGTATGAACAGAAAGGCCAGTCCTAAACATGCTTCGGAAAGCTTTCATAGTGGTCAGTATTAATGAAAATACATCCGAATACCAACATGCAGAATGAGAGCTAGGAAGTAAGTGGTGTCCATGGGAGTTGGCTAAAATCATTCAAAGTAAAGAACAGGAGGAAGAAGGAAAAAGGTGTTGATCAGAAACTAAGACTAATATGTCATATGATCAGACTAAACAAGAAAGTGGGACACATTTACAACGGTCCATGTGGTCTCATAAAGCCTGGCCTCTAACTAAACCGCAACAAGTCTTGTCCACAGTTTGTTCAGGCCAAGAACCGCCCACTTAGAAATTCGGAGACTGCCTGATTGACATGTAAAGCAATCTCTGTTCATTTAGTTTTTATGTGCCAATCAAGATTGCAAGTGGCCCATCCACACCAAAGATGATAAGTGTAACAATAAGTCAGTCATTTCAGGCCAAAACAAAGTTTGTTTGCAGTTTGAAACAGATTGCCAAAGCAAACTTTCCTATTTTCTATTGCTGTAAAGCTGCTTGCTTTTAACGAAACCTATTGTATGAAGTGCTATAAAAATAAACCTGACACCACTTGACTAGAGTGCCAAATTGTAGAGCTAGTGAAAACATATCCACATCACATGTTTTTAAATGCTGTTTGCAAACGTCTTTTTAGCCCTAAGTGAAGAAAAATAATTTTGCAGTGAGAATATCAGAGCCTTAACTATATAGCTTCAATAACCTTTCTACATTTATAAAAAATGGCTAAGTCCACATTACAGCTATTATGATAGCATCATTGGAATCACTTTCAGAAAAATTTTTTTCCAGCTGATGAACAATGAAAACATTTAGAGCCAATCAGAATCCAGTCAGCTTTAAAGGAGTAGTTCACTTTTCAAAATTTTTTTGCTGATAATTTACTCACCCCCATGTCATCCAAGATGTCATGTCTGTCTTTCTTCAGTCGAAAATAAATTAAGGTTTTTGATGAAAACATTCCAGGATTTTTCTCCATATAATGCACTTCAGTGGGAACCAAACGGTTCAAGGTCAACCAAACGATCGCTCATTTAAAAAAAAATAACAAAGTTTAAGTTTTATAAGCTCAAATGGTTGCCTTGCTCTGTACTGTGATGCACGTTCGCGACTCTCCTGTTTGAACCCGTTCATCAAAATGAACGAATCTTTTTCCGAATCAATTCGTTAGTTTCGTTCGCTGAATGAACCAAATGACTCGGAAAAAGATTCGTTTATTTTGATGAACGAGTTTGAACAGGAGAGTCACAAACGTGCGTCACAGAACAGAGCAAGGCGACCATTTGAGCTTATAAAACTTAAACTTTGTTATTTCTTTACTAAATTGATTTCGCTTGATAAAACCCTTATTCATCGTCTGGAATTGTTTAAAGCCTTTTGAACAGTCCACAGTTTGTACTGAAAGTGTCTTTTGGACCTTGAACCGTTTGGTTCCCAATGAAGTGCATTATATGGAGAAAAATGCTGGAATGTTTTCATCAAAAACCTTCATTTCTATTCGACTGAAGAAAGAAAGACATGGACATCTTGGATGACATGAGGGTGAGTAAATTATCAGCAAAAGTTTTTTTCAAAAGTGATCAACTCCTTTAAAGATCTCTAGCACACTTATAAATTAACAACATTATCATCCGTTGGTGTGCACACTAATATAGTTAAGGTAATTCTTGGTGTGAATGGACCTCTTCCTTTGAAAGCTGCTTAAGTTAGCTGCTCAGATCATATGAATCAGGTGCTCAGTGGATTAAGTGTGGGCAGTCTGTAAGGCTAAGAATTCGATCCAAGATTTGTTGATCAGTAATAAACAAGCTAAAAAGAAGCATTTGTTTAAAATAGAACCATAAAGTACCTGAAAACTGAGAACATTTTAAACTGGCCATCACTGCATTATGTCCAACAGAAATGCAGGATCTGAAGTACGAATTTAGAGGGAAGTGTTGCACATTATCAGGTAGGTGGAGGTACAAGTGGAGAGGAAGATGAAAGAAAAATAGGAAGGTGTAAATTAAACAAGATTCTCACCATGTACTGAATGGTAGAGCTCGACTTCCGCTTCTAGAGAGAGAATGAGAGGGAAAGAAGTGTGAAAAATGGACTGTGAGACGATATATAAAAGAGTAGCCTGTTTGATAGCAGTTTTCATCTGGGGTTTCGGATAAAAGCATCAGATGCAGCCAGAGCCGAGTATACCAGCAATCCAAAGAAAACAATCTGGGGTGTAGGTGAAGGTTTGGGTTTAGAGTAAGACAATGTGTAGACCTCTTCTGTAGTACAACAGGACATTTGTAGAAAGAGGAACAAGGAAGGGGTGGGTCAAGTGAAGGAAAAAGGAGAGAGAAACATGCAACTAGCAGAAGAACTAGTGCACTTGAAGAATGATCAGTGTAAGCAAAGTTAACTGATCCAGGAGCACTTGTTCGAGAGATATTCGAGATAGTTTCCGTTCGGCGATAATCTGGTCCTAAACCAGGAGCAGGGAAAACTTAGGAGCCACACAAAGTAGGAATTGATGTGCAAGGACAGACAGGGATGCTGAGAGAGGAAGCAAGCACAGTCTGTGCGGTTCAGTGATATTTTTTGTCCTAAAAAAAAAAGGGCAGCCAAGAACGAGTTATATTAAGCACAGAATGTTCTCAGAAGCGCTTTGGTTGAAAATGCAGCAGTGCAACTTCCAATCGCTGCAACTGCCTTATTAAAAAAAAAAAAAACGCCTCCAATTCTAAAGCAGAATTACATAACCAGCATTACTGCAAAGATTTAGACACAGAGTAAGGAAGTCAGCTTCAGTTATTTTGAAAAAATAGCGAGAGAAACTAAATAAAGAGCAGCTCAACATGATATTTGGAGACAGAGCATAAAGGTGAAGGAATGTGAGATTAAAGTAATCATGAAAAGGAGAGAAGAAATCTTTTAAAATGGTTGGAGGACGTGGGGGAGCCTGTTGCTAGGCGATGAGAGGAGCGATGTGCTGCTATTTTCGTCTCAGAGTTTCCAGGGTTTCAGAATCACGGCTATTCCTGGAACCAGAGTCACATTCCCTGCTGAACTATTTCTCCACTCACACACACACACACACACACACACGGAGATAGCAGGTGTGAGTCACAGAGGTGGGTTGTGGGGTGACGATAAAGTAGAAACAGGTAGGAATGTGTGCGAGTGTGTGTCTACAATCACTCTCATAAGTGTTAAGGGCAGTTCATCTCTGAAAATCCTGTTTCATGAATCAAATTATGCTGGCTCTTGTGGAAGATTCCATAGATTCCTCAATGACATCACAGCCGCCATCGTTATATCGTTCTCCTCAACGTCTCCCATACGTCCGCAGGTGCTGACGGAAATAAAACATTCATTTCGTCTCATCTTTCGGTGGTATTGCTGGCTCCATAACCGGATAGAGCTTGTTACGGTGTTTGGTAACACTCTTATGACTTCTAGAGAGCCCAGCAAATTCACTACAATATTCATCATGAGGTTCATTGCATAATCCGCATGCTATTTTTACATTTTTTGCGCAAATGTGTGCAACCCTGTGGGATGAATTGAAATATGGGGAAATGTGTTAAAGGTAGCTCTTCTTGGTAGAGCTACCTACCTGGTAATAAATGTATATTTTCATGTTCTAATGACTGCTAAAGAGAAAATTCAGTGAAATACTCAATGCAAAAGCTCATTTTAATCCAAATGCTATTTATACAATTTCGCACTAATAAGTGGAACCCTAAGGGGTAGGATTGAAATATGGGGAACTGTGTTAAGGCGGCTAATATGGTCACATATTACCTTTAACTCAGGGATATTTACCTTTTTACATTTTTTTTTTGGAACCACAAAAGATGATGTCCAAGCTGCTCTTTTGCTTACAATGAATGTGGATGGTGACTATTGGCTGTCAAAGCTGAAAAAGATACAAAATTATCTAAAGTCCATAAATGAGCTAAATTACAAGTCTTCCGAAGAACTGGCAGACAGGCTTTGGAAGAGTAGTAATATAGTTTACAAGTCATATGATTGACAGTCATTGGTCACCATCCGCTTTCATTATATAGAAAAGTGCCGTTTCAAGATAAGCTAATTTAAACTCTTTTGGGGCTGGTTTCACAGACAGGGTTTAGATTAAACCAGGATTAAGCCTTAGTTCAATTAGGATATTTAAGTAGATTTTTACATTTTTCTTTAGAAAAATTCAACTGATGTGCATCTTGAGATAAAAAAAATGGCACTGACATATTTTAAGATAATGTTAGTGCAAGTTTATTTTAGTTAAAACAGCTCAATAATGCATTTCAGTCTGGAACTAAGCTTACCGTAAAACTTAATAGCCAAGTCCCAAATAGACGCATGTCTCTTTTACACGCCTGGTGTGACTCCAGGTTTGGGCAAATAAATTGGCGGGTCTGTTTTTTTTTTCTAAAACCGTCAGATCGTCCGCTTTTTGGCGGCCGCCAAAGCAAATTTTTGTCCCGCAAAGCCTATTTTGATCGGTGAGTGACAGGGTGCATAACGAGCAGAGAGAGAGAGAGCGCTCAACACAAGCGAACAACACAAGCGCTGTCTTGTTCTCTCTCCCTCGCGCATATTAATCAAATCAATCAAAATGATAGTAAAAGGTGGGAAGACCGCAGTTTCACGTGGAGCATTTGGAGATTTTTAGAGATTAGAGACTCAATGAACAACATCAACACTAAATTATAAAGGCCGGTCTCATATAGACGCCAGTAAAATATTATTATATTATTATTATATTATTATCAATAAAAGCCCTATTATTTTGTTTTTGCGGTAAGCCTTGTTTGTGAAACCGGGGGTTAGTGTTTAATGGAAAAATAGAAACAGAACATATGAAGTCAACCCTAAATCCTACCCTTTTAAAACAGAGATCTCTGAATATTTGTGATATTTTGGAATCTATCAGTAAGATGAAATCCGTTTTGAGGAGAGGTTGACTAGATTTAATTTGAACAGTATTTAAATACAGTTTAATGAGGTGATTTTAGGTGTCAGTGGTCATGTTTTCAGACATTCTTGACATTCTAACACACATACACTTCGAACTGACAACACTAACGTATGAAAACAACACAATCATGCAACAAAGAAGACACTCTAAACACACACAGCAAGCACTGACAGATTAGCCAGTAAAATAGCAGGGCGGAAAGACTGAGTAGTGAGTGATGGTGCTAAGAAACCATAGGGTCATGTCTGGGTCACAGAGGTCAGAAGTTCAACAGATCTTCTTACCTTAACGTCTGCTTTTTTGTTCAACAAGCTCTTGGCTGCTACAATGGGAAGAAATGAGAGAGAGAAGTTAAATCAGCAACACCATATTACATATTACAAAATGTCAATTAACCCGCCGGACAGGCAATTTACCCAGGGCTGTATTTCCTAAAACCAAACAGAACACTGGAGATATGAATCATACTAATAATTTTGAACAGCATAACTAGGCCCAGACAGAATCTTTTTTTTCTTTTTTCTTTTTTCTTGGTTCTGCACTTATTTTTGATTTTGAAGTTGGGAGTTGTATGGAATGGGTTTAAACATGGTAAGCCATTATTAATAACTAAAAAAAATAGCCAAAACGTTTAATAAACTAGCTCAAGAGAGCCTGGAGATTTTCAAAATTTTGTGAATGATAGGCTTTCAACTTTCAGCAAGTGTAGATTCTGTGTTAGCCTACTCAGAACTCTACTCCAGATTTTTACCAATGACACTTTATAATAAACATCATTAGTGAGTCTTTAACAATACATATAATTCTAACTAGCATATTTCATGTTCAATGTTTCATGATAGCGATTAATTGTCCAAAAACTAATTTAATAAGTGTTACATAAAATGAATAAAGATTTTTAAAGATTAAGATTTATTATAAAGCGTTTCCCATGGCTGCTTTGAGTGAACTGTTCCTCATGGTCTAATTAATAAAACATTTTCATCATGTTTATGCTCTTTGTAAGACTTACAGAAAAGATTGTGGCAGAGAAATTCACTAACCTATACTGGATATTTACATCCGCTTCCTAATCACAGAAGCAACTAACATTTTAAAATTTGCTTTTTTAGGTTCAGCCAAACAGTATCTAAGCAGAATAGCTGACCAAGGAACTTTTCAATCAAATTAATTATGAAAATTGCTAAACAAAAATCAGTGCTTTTATGTTAGTGTTGTTCATCATGATGCTGTAAAAACATCAGACACAATCATTGTCATTATTGGTTCTTCTTGTACCATTTTATATTCAAAATACATTTGCATACAAAAATACACAGACCCTCTCGAGCAACTGTGCATGCAGCTTTAAAGCAGTCCATTTAAATAGCTTCTGCTTTTTTAGTAATTAACCACAGTAACACCATTACATTCACATCAAACTCATTCGGCATGTCTGTTTCCTCAAAGAATCACACATCCAGAGTTGGTTAGACTATTAATAAAGCAGCACTTCAGCACTCTTAAACATGGGGATGGGCCTTTTTGATAATTTTCTATTATGAGTACTCATACTCATACTAAAAAAAACATGATGCCTTTGGTTCGTTTGTGTATAGCTGTCACTGGATTTCAATCATAGTGAAACGTCTTCAAATCGAAGTTCAATCAAATCGAGTTCCAAGAAAAAAAAAAAAAGGTTTCATTTCTAAACACTTGTGTACTTGCATGGTTGCACCCATCCCAACTACTAATTTTAAAGGGTGTCTTAGCACTTCTGAGGATAAGACTACTGATCTAGATAGTGTTCATCCGATCAGTTCAGCAAAAAAGATTCTGTATTTCTGTAAAAAAGGATCCAACCGATTCAGCTTCGTCACCAATAAGACTGTTCAGTGGATGACATGGGCTGACATTATGCAATTACAGAGTATTTATGACCAGAGTATTTCTGGTCATAAATCGAAGAACAGGGTCATTCAAGGTTGGAATTTGACACAGATCCTCCTAGAACGGTATCTGGGCCACCAATCCATGGCCCAAAGAGATCATCAGTGAGAAGAAATGAGCATGCGTCCCTGTAGAAAGAGCAGGAGTGGTGAAGTAACATTTAATACTCTAGAGTGAGCGGAACTCCTTACCTTGCCATTAACACAGAGAGCAAGAGCAAGAGAGAATGGAGAGAAAAAGAGAGAGCAGTGGAGAAGAGGTCAAATAACCAAAGTCTCGTGTGTTGTTTCTATGTACGGTGAAGCTAAAAAACTGTCTGTGGAGCTGTATATGGGGCTCAAGAAAAAAAAAAAAGTAGTATGTCAACTTATTTTCAGTTCAGTCATCATTTTTCGCAGAGTTTTTATACTTTGTAGGGTCAGTCAGCACAAACAGGGTAAAAAAAAAAGGCAGGCAGATACGTTTGTGCCAAGATGTTTTTGTATAAGCAGTTTCACTACTTTAAAACCTAGTCCTTTTTGAAAAATGTAACATTATATGTTTTGATTAAAAACATTTATTAATCATGACAGCATTAATATAATATTTACATTAAATAAAGAATATTATCTTAATACAATAGAATTTAAATGCATCTTGTGTTATGTATAATAGACGCACAAGGAACACTGACCATTAAAAGTTTTTCACTATAAAACATAAAAAAATAAAATAAAAAAGTAGACATTTATATGCAGTTGATCCCCCTTTGCTGTTAGAACAGCTTCCACTGACACAGTCAAGCTAGTTAACTAGAAGCGGGAGTTCGCATACTTGTATAATACAAATGCATTCTCTTATATGCAATGTTTTAAAGTCAAATCAGAGGATTCGGAATGATCCAGATATCAGTATATGTAGTGTAACTGCCTATAGCGCAAGAGTCTGTTTGCTCAGGCTTAGGGTAGTTGAAGGACAACAGAGAGAGGCAGCACTACATAAATATTTGATTGCAGGCATGTGGAGGGAGCATCAAATATGAAGCACAGCCTTCACATTGAGCCACAGCGCACGCTCAATGTACCAGCTCAACCCTTCTACCTCACTCATGATGCATAAAGTAAAACAGGAAAAGGAAAGCTGAAAAAAACATTTAAACCTGAATCATTTTCTGCACTCTCATGAAGGTAAATGGCAAAACAATGGTTCTGGCTTCTCCTCCAGAACAGCTGTTTGGATAAATGAAGATATTCTAATTCATCTCTAAGCTTAAATGTCAATGGCTGTTTGGTCAAAAAGATTCTTCCACTGACAGAAAAACATTTTTTGAAACCATTTCCGAGCAAATAAATACACATCGAGATATATACTGAAACTGAACATCAACAAAAAGCTAAAAAAAAAAAAAAATCTACAATTGTTTTAGCAACGATATACAGGTCAGTCCTACTCATCAAAAAATCCAGTAAAATGTCTTGACAAAATTCACACCCAAAATTATAACTTAAAAAAACGATAATAACTTATATTAGTGTCCACACCAATTAAGTATTGTGTTTATTATACGCATGCTATGAAGCAACACAAATTTAATGTGTGGGAATAACACAGTGAGTAAGAAAACGTTTAACAAATCAAAACTATCATGAATTTGTCTTTTGCTTTTCCTTCACTGTGACTGTGACTGACAACAAAGGCAATGCTGTCAATTGTTCAAACAGTCTACATTTTAGTCTAGACAACAAATAGTCTACATAATTACATAGATAAAACACACTTAAGGTAAAAATAAGACCTTAAAATGACTACATTGGGCTGTTTGAGCAGATTGCTCAGAAACTGATTCAGTTTGGTTTTGTGATTGATATTCTAGCTATCAGTTCTGGAGGAGATGCAATGAACAAAGACTTGTTGAAATAAGGAGCAAGAAAAAGATTCCAAATTAAATGTTCTTGATTAAACTACAACTATAAATGTTTAATTATAGGTATGAATGCCCAAGATTAACTGTGATAAATTGTACACATACAGTAGTGTAGTGTAGTGCTCTAGGCTAAACCCTACAAAATAATCTACTGCAACTGTATACTCACTATGGCACCAATATGGAACAAAATGATATTGTTTTCATGTGTTTTCCCTCATATTGTGGATCCAAAATTTCAAATTAATGTTAATAGAAGTTCTACATAATTATAGATCCTTTCGATACAAGTGTATATGAAATGCTGGTTAAAAAATGCTAAAGAGTGAAAATAAAAAAAGATATTTTTTAGAAGAAAAAATAAATAAAAACATTTTGATATAGTGAGTACAGTTGTCAAGAAGCTTTGACCATGCACAAGTGCACAAGATCCATTCAGCCCATCACACCCCCAAGTTAGTGAACATGCATTAGTCCAACCTCCCATGCAGCATTCAGCACAACAGCAGGCAGACTGTTCCACCCCCGGAAACAGGGGTAAACTTCAACTTCACAGACCATATTAAAAGACAGAGTTAAGGAAGGAAGGAGGAATACAAAGGATGGAAGTGAAGATGGCTTATGGGGTGTCAGATAAAAATGGCAAAGAAAAGTGATGAGGAGGATAAGAATAAACCAGAAAAAGTCAAAGGCACTGATTTATGGCAAATATGAAAAGAATAAATGATGGAGAGAACAGGACTCAAAAAGGATAGTGGGAATGAAAAAATGAATTCATCATGCAGGGTGTAGCTCCTCTGTGAAATAAATAAAAGATGAATGGAATGATGACAGTGATGATGACAGACAGCTTAGAGGACCAATACGTGCTACATATGATAGACATGAACTGCAAAAATGAAGTGAATAATGACACGGGGGTGTGGAGGACAAGAAAGAATGGAAAGAAACAGCAGGAAAGACAGGTAGAGGGTGAGTCCTCATGCACACTTTAGCCCCATGCAGAGACAATCATGGACTAGTGAGTGACAGAGAGGAAATAAGAGGATGATAATGATGTGAAGTTCATAAAATTGATGAAAGAAACGAAAAATTAAACAGAAAATGAATTCATCAAACAAGGAAACCAAAAAAGAAAATGGAAAGGGAAAGGAAATGTCTATAGGAAATGATATGGAAATCATAAACTGAAAGGAAGCGGAAAGAAAGGAAGAGGAAAGGAAACTGAAAGGAAGCGGAAAGAAAGGAAAAAAAGGAATTGAGAAAGGATAGAGAAAATTAAATTGTAGAAAAAAAATGGGAAATAAAAAAGGAAAAGAGAAAGCAAATGCAAAAGAAAGAGAACAGGAAATTAATGAAATTCATTAAAAGGAAACGAAAGGGGAAATGGAAAGAAAGGTAATAGAAAGATTGAAACAGAGAGGAAAAGGAAACTTATATGGGAAGTGAAAAGGAAATGGGAAATGAAAAAGGAACACTAAAAGAAAGAGAACATGAAATTAAAAGAAAAACAAAGGAAAAGTGAAAGAAAAAGGAAAATGGACAATGTAAGGGTATGGAAAAGTAAAACGGAAGGGAAGGAAAGGAAATTAATTAAAAGTAAAGGAAAGGGGAAATGGAAAGAAAGGTAATAGAAAGAAAAGAAACATTGAAACAGAAAGGGAAAGGAAAATTATATGGGAAGTGAAAAGGAAATGGGAAATGAAAAAGGAAACACTAAAAGAAAAAGAACAAGAAATTAAAATAAAAACAAAGAAAAAAAAAGAAAAAAAATGGAACTGGAAAGTGTAAGGAATTGGGAAAGAAAAGGAAAGAAATGCAAAAGGAAACAAAAAAAGATGTGGGAAAAAGAGAAAAGAGAAAGGAAAATGTAAAAGACAAATAACAGGAAATGAAAAGGAAACTTAAAAGTATATGTTAAAGAAAAATGAAAATGAGAGGGAAAAGAAAAGGTAAAAACCGTGGTGTGTCTATAGAGAATAAGGGGATGGGAGGAGTGTTCAGACAGAGAGTGTCAGAGGAATTAAGCCCAGCAGGGCGGCGCTACCTTGTTCCACCAGCCCTGCTGTGGTGCCTGCAGCCGCGGCTACAGCAGCCGCAGCCGCAGTGACCGAGGCGGGAGCCGTGGTCTGCCTGCTACCCACTATCACACGCACCCACACACAATCACAAACAAATTCAGAGGAGGAACAAAGAGAGAGAGAGAAAGAGAGAGGGAAGAGGAAAGGGGGCAGAGTGAAAGAGAACCATTTATTAGTCTATGGGAGAAGAAACTGTCAGTTATAAGAACACATCAAACCATTTACTTCTTTGAGAGACAGGTGGCTCGTAACAAAATAATACCCACTTAAACAGGAGCCATACTGACATCTGACTCAGAGAGAATCATCCCTCCTAACACTCAAAATCACACATATTTATCAACGTCCTCTGTTGGACCATCATCTGAAGCGGTTAAAAGCAGAGCCCTGGCATCACAGATGAGATCAGAAGGCAGAATTTGCTACTATTAACTACTTGAATTTCCATTAAGGAGATCAAATAAAAGCAAAACTGACAGAGAGAGACATGCTATTTTGTATTATGCATGATATCTGTGAGGTCAGAGCTACATGAAAACCGCAAGCTGCGAGATGGAGAGGAAAGGATAGTAAGTAGATGGTGGGCAGAGAGTAAATGTATAAAGACAGTGGTCACAAAAAGTATGTGGACACTTAAACCACACTTAAAAATGTGTCTATACACACTAGTTAATGGGCTAAGTGGCACTTATTAGCATTACAGATAAGTGGTAATTTAAACTAGTCAAAATTTGTTTCATTTGTATTATTTTACTATCATATTTGATCTATTCTAATAGTAGTTTATTTTTTGTTTTTAAGGACTTTTTTTTACTTGCATTAGTTAGCATTACGAGCTCTGATATCAAAATTAGTTAATAGAATTGTGAAATTTCACTGGTACCTAAAATTTAGACGTCATAGCAGCAACCGTATTTCCAGCAAACATATACTTAATATTGTTCTCGCTATTGTTAAATAAATTACTCATAAGGTTTTGGTCATATGGCCCACTCATAATTATAAAGTAATCATGATTACAATACTGGCCAAATAGTCATAATTATTTTGGTAAACATAATATCAAAAAAATTAAGTTAGTTCTGAGAAACACTCTAGCCATTTCAAAAAATGATTTCACAAGTGAATTAAATAAAATAGAAATGTGCGATCACAAATTCTGTGGTGTTAATTTCCAGAATTTTGTGTATGTATGATGTATGCATGATATACAATAGTAATGCATGACAGATAAAAATGCAGAAGGCTTGTTTATTTTTGTTTTAACAAACTTTCAGCCATTTTTACACAAATTTGTGTGCATTTGGCTATTTAAGCATGTGTGACATGCATCACTAATGTGTCAATAGCTTTAAGCAGTTCTATGCTTCTTGTGATCATTTTGCTGTTAAATGGCAAATAATGCTAGGCTGGATGGCATTCGAACTTAGCCCCGCCCACAACATTCGAGGATCCGTTGGGAAGCAAGTATGCCCGAACCAAAGCTGTTTGGACCAATCAAATTGTCAGGGCAGGCTTTATTTGATGATGGAAAGATGATCAACCGTAATCATCCACGTCACCGAAGAGCGCTTGGGTTCAAAGAATGGCTGTCGCTGGAGAATTGAGATGTGTAGATTCAGCCATCGCGTCTGTTACAGAAGATGTAGACAGCGCATTTATTTTAAAAGAGGAACAGAGAACCGCGATCAAGGCATTTGCCGATCCAAATTAATGCAGAGGCGTTTTCTTTCCTTGTTCAGTTGAAACGCCCCATAATCACAGCCTAATGGAGCAGTATCAGACTCACATTCTGAATAGGACGACATCAGGCTAAAATCACGAAAGAATGCAAAACGTAATTTTGTTGATTTTGGATAGTGTTCAACAATTACAATCAATCTGGAGGGGCTGTCTGCATCATTTGTTTTCAGGTGCCATTTGGTTTGATATATATTTTAATTGCAATCGAAGTGTCACGGTAATTTTTAGTACCCTGTATCACATTGACAGTCTTGCCCACAAGTCACTTTTATTGAGACCAAGAGACTTGGGACATTTCTTTGGCAGACAGCAGTCAACAAAGCACATCAAGACATGTGATCATACACAGAAAAGGCTAATCAGAAAACACACAGATCCGTCAACTCGACTATCCATCAAAACCGAGTTAATAACCAGCTTCATCAAACCCGAGTAACTTACCAGAGAAGTTTCGTGACACAAGCATGGTGGTGAGGATGGCCCCCTGTGACGAGAGGGAGGATATTTAACCTTTTGTGTAAAATTAAAATTGAGTGAGCAATGAGCATGTTTGTGTGTTACTATGAAACACACCTTGAGTTTCCTCCTGGCGTTGAACTTCTTCAGGCATTCCACAGTCTCTTGTCTGTGCATCATGGAAGCCACAGTAGAGCGTTGCTATGGAAACAAACAGGGAAAAGATTTAGACTGTATCTAGACCTGCATGTTGCTGTATTTCTATATAAGTGTTCTATATGTCTGCATGCGCATATCGGAGAATACATACGCAGACCCATGGGTGTTTGAGAGCTTCCTGTGCAGTGATTCTTTTGCCAGGGTTTATGGTCAGCATTTGATTGATGAGGTTTTTGGCTTCAGGAGTAACTGTGTCCCATTCTGGAGATGGAAACTACCAGAAAAATATACATTATTGCATTATTCAGATGTATTCATAAGCTACAGCGCCAAATCTTTGTTGATCAAATAAACTACCAGTTGGAATATGCAGTTTCTATAACTTGTGCATCTTTAATTTGCAGAAATAAACCACCAGTTAAAGTCCCATTTTCTGAATTTAATGTATTGGCAATATGCAGATACAATATATGAGTCAATTTTGCCCTTTGAAAAACCCACATCGGCAAAAACAAGTATGAATCAATGCTCCCAAATAAAAACGGATAAACATTCTTAATGTGATATTCTGACTGTGTGATGGTGATAAAGTGTTTTTATAATGTGAAAATCAATACAGATTTATCACATTCTTTTAATGGTGCATTAAGAGATTTCTGAGAAATGCTGTTGAAAGTGGTTCGGACCGAGCACTAGGCATGTGCCGGTATCAAAATTTCATGCTGCAAATAAATTGATTGAGCTTCTATCACGGTGACATCAAAATATTTTAATTGCACAAGTGAAAAGGATGGATTGGGGGGGAGGGGATGTAACAAAAAAACAACAACTTGCATCACAATAGGTGTAATTGTGATTGTCAAAACATTTGGTAATTCATCAGTAGTGATGCTCCGATTGATCGGCTGCCGACCTATATCGACATAAATTACTCACGTGACTTTTTCCCACCTGCATGCACGGCGCACACAACAGCAGAGCAGAGCTTGCCAGTGGAAACATGAGTTTATTCTAATGGTCTAGTGGCAGAACTTTTAAAAATCTAAATTCGGATCTACTATTTTTCACGGTACTTTGAATTGCCCACAATAACAATATCATGCATATTCATTACCGTGATTTATCACCGGCACATGTCTGTCGAGCATCAAAACACACTTGTAGCCCATCAGTAGTAAAGGGGATATACTCATTAGGGGGGAGGTGCCTGTGTTGAAGTTGTTTGTGAATTTGGGAGCGGAGCCATCAAGCTATCATAGTGGTGTGATCCGTTTGGGTAGGGGCGTGTTTATTTTGGTGATTTCAAAAATCAACAGCATTTTTCAGAAATCGCCCACTTTAAATACAGTATTCTAAATATAATTTCTGCATTCACAATAATAATTAAAAAATGATTAAATATCTCTTATGAACCCTCCTGCCTACTTTACACATTTATCAGACAAATATGTTGCACAAGCTAGATGGAGTGGGAACATCGAAATGTCATGAGTACATCAGATGGGGCACATGTCAGAGAAGCTAGAAACTGCACCGAGGAATGTATTGAAATCAATGAGGACAAATGGTCTTAGGGATTCTCACTGATCTTCTATCAGAAGAATAAGAGGTTGTGATAAAAAAAGGGAAACAGAGGGTGGGGAGGTGTAAAACGTACATCATAAGCTCCAGCTTTAATCTGTTGGTAAAGTTTGTGCTGATCCTCGTCCCAGAAAGGGGGATATCCAACCAGCAGAATGTACAGAATCACACCTGAATAGAAAACAAGAAAACAAATGAATGATTCTGTTCCAAGTGCATACATAAGCAACATTTTTAAGGTTGTTCCATAAAATATATGTCAGATAATATAACTTATACTGTACTCAAAAGTATTAAAAAATACAGGGGTTGGACAATGAAACTGAAACACCTGGCTTTCGAACATAATAATTTATTAATATGATGTAGGGCCTAAAGCATAAAGCATCAGTTCGTCTAGGGAATGACAGATAAAAGTTGGCACCAATGAAACTGACATTTGGCATTGGCACGAGTGACCAAAGGTTTGGCTATAGCAGCCCGACTATGAATATTAACTCTGTGGAGCCACCGACAAACTGTCTTGGTGGAAGCAGGAGAGTTGAGGAACGCATTAAATTCAGTACATGTTAGTACATATACATCATTTCAGAGAGCTTCCTCTTCCACTGACAATTACTTCTTTTGGATGTGGTTTGTCCTATGTAGTGGTATGCCAACATTAGAGTATCTGTGCTGTTGTTTGCTAGTAGCTTTAATTAGTGTTGTGTAGGTCGACTAGAAATCCCCAACTCGCATCAAAAATGAATGACTCCCAGTCTCTGTCACTGAAAATCACTGTATTTGTGAATATCCCTTTGGGACCCTGCTGAAAAAAAAAAAAAACTAAGCAAACCAGCCTAGAATTGTTTTCCTAGTTTGCTTTATCACCTATCCTGGCCAAACTGGTTATCCTGGCAGGCCATAAAAAGAAGTGCCCCCCCAACAACCAGCAAATCAGACCAGCTCGAACAGGATTGGATACCAGCTAAGGCCCCCGACCCGACCTTTTGCTACGTTTGCACCTCCCCTCCAGACTAAAACGGAAAAAACGAATACCTAAAACGGAGAAGTTTAGAAACGCTGCAGCTCCGTTTTGCATTTTGAATCTCCGGAGGGCGTTTTAGTGAAGACGGGACAAAACGGAGGACTTTAGAAATGATGACGCAGAGGCTCACGCTCTGCTCTATGATTGGGTGTCATCAGTCATGACGTGTCCTTCTCTGATTCGTCAGCCACCCATCCCATGACCCGTCCCCGGAAGAAAACAGACAAAAACATCCTGGACTACGTAACATAGATACATAGATAACGAAGCGGTATTAACCGTACATGGAGCGTCGGTTTTGGGTTTACACCGGCACGCGCATGTTCAGAGTTGGTCAGGTGAATGGTCACGTGATCCGTATTTGTTTTAATTATCCGTTTTTAAACGAAAACGGAGTAGTTTGGACGGGGCTAAAGAACAGGAAACCCTCTTGGGCTGGTTTAGGTTTTTTTTTTTTTTCAGCAGGGAAGGTAGACAGCAAGCCAGCTCACTTAGTTTTGAAGCACAGCACAGAAAATCTCTTTGTCTCTTCAAAATTAGCACGTGCTTGTCTGTATTGAGTTTAATTACCACAGGCCCAGATGTCCACCGGTTTGCCATATGCCTCCTTCCTCAACACCTCAGGTGACAGGTAACCTGGTGTCCCTGCAAATCCTGTAAAACATAGTTAAGCACACAGTCTTTCAGATACTCCTCTGCACCAGTAAAAAGTAGCAAGCACACACAAGATAAAGAATCCAAAAAGTGAGTCGTGTGGGCGTGTCTCAAAAATCAAACGTATAAGTTTGCATTGCTATGGCAACGATTACATACCAAACCATGCCTGCTGGTCTCCCTGCACTTCAATGGCCAGTCCAAAGTCAGCCAGCTTCACTGCAGCGTTCTTGCACTTGCTGGCCAAGAGCAGATTCTCTGGCTGTGGGGGGAATCAAGACAACATTTCTCCTGCCTTAACACACAACTTAAACACACACAATCACAATAACAACACACTGTGCATGCTTACACCCACACTACACAACAATAATATATAGTCAGATATCCATCACATGTTCAAATTTAGCATTGCATACAAAAAACTCTCACAATCTGATTCTTAGAAATAGTAGTTGAATGTTGAGTTTGGTTGACGTACTTTCTAAATGAAGGATGCGGAAAATACATTTGTCTTCACTGGCAATAAGAGCGTGTGCACGTATGTGTGCGTGTTTTTTCTCCTGTTTTTTCTCCTGACTGACCCAGATTATCTAGCCTCATTATTCTCTGCCACTGATGGATGCTAATAATGTGATATCCCCTCTAGTGCCTCCTGATTCTTCTGCTAGCACACACACACACACACACACACACACACACACACACACACACACACACACACACACACACACACACACACACACACACACACACACACACACACACACACACACACACACATAACACTATCTTATAAATCATAATGCTAGCAACCAAATACACAGTCACACACACCTTCACAAGCACTGCACCAGATAGTCAAATCTCAAGCAGCTTTTCCTGCATTGCAGTATCTGGTGGATCTAGCATCCACTTCCTTCACTCTTTGATTCACAATAAAGACTGCAACTAAACGGTTTAAAACTGTTAAAATAAAAATATACACTAACATTTAAAAGTTTGGGGTCAATAAGATGATTTTAAAATAATAACAATATATTTACAGAAAAATACATTTATAATGTTACAAAAGATTTTTATTCCAAATAACCGCTGTACTAACTTCTGAAAATTTAGCGTTGCCATGACAGGAATAAATTACATTTTAATATATATATATATATGTATATATTAAAAAGGGGGTTATTAAATTGCAGTAATATTTCACAATGTTAGCGTTTTAACTATATTTTATATCCGATACATGCAGCTTTGGTGAATAGACTTCTTTCAAATATAAAAAAAAAGGTTAGTGAGACCCCCTTCTTTTAAGTAGAGATATATGACAGACTGATTCAAGCCAATAGCATATGCAGAATGATCTAACATTAATGGTAAACAAAATCCTATGAAAATCATCTGCTGAAGTCTATATAGATCTAGCTATTAGCAGACACAGTCAAATTGGTCTTAAGTGTTCACAGAATGACTTAGTCTTACGTACAGCAGCCCATCTGCGTATACTTAATATTCAACAATATTATTGATCTGACTGTACTGCCACTGCTGTATGAGAACTGAACTGAGCTGGACGATGACTTCATTTTTTGCAGAACTGCTTTATAGATTAAATTAACTAATTAAATAATTGATGATCTTTACAACATAACTGAGTTAATACGGAACTGACTTCAGCTGAACAACCATAGATATCTATATAAAGGCTAGATGTCTTAAGGCGGAGTTTCTATCGTCATCACCGGCGGCCATCTTGTCACAGGCAAGCTGATGTAAGATGAGTGATCAGGACGAACAACACAAATACTCTTATCTCGTTGAAATCTTGACGGATTTACAAACGGTTTGGTTTCTTACAAACGTTATTAACGTGGCTATAATTATCTGGATGATTATTTATTTATACACTTATTATTCATAAGTATGCTGTGTCATAACTACATCTCTGACGTTTATAACAAACCAAACCGTTTGAAAATCGGTAGAAAATTGAGCAAGTTATGGTTATTTAAATAGTACATGTACCATTAACACAGAGCTACGAGTGAGCGAGCTGCCTGTGACAAGATGGCCGCCAGGTGCAAACGTCGACCTCCATTGGCCAGCAGCATGGACGAGATATCAAGCCTTTATATAGATATCTATGTGAACAACAGCCGAAATTCTTCATTTTCCTAATAACCTTAAAGCTGCTTTGAAACGATCTGTATTGTGTAAAGCGTTATATAAATAAAGGTGACTTGACTATACACATCTATGGACGTTAAAGCTATTAAGAAAATGTGGCTTCTACATGTTTCATTAAGAGCCAGTGGATATCTATTTTTTTACATTGATATCCTTGTTCCATAACGCTCATTATCACATCATTATCACCATCCCTTCATTAAAATTTCCTAGATTTTGTCTCCATCCTCAGAAGAACTCATACAGAATGGCTAATAGAGACTACTCCCTCCCCAAAAAGAGGTTAAACATGCACACTGCTGAGGGCTGGAACACCAGGAGCTAATCCCAGCCTTAAATCTCAGTAGTGGGAGGAATTTTGATGAACAGCACCCTGAGAACAAATCCAGCAAAGAAGATCTGCCAAAAATCACTCTCCAACGCTTTCACGAGTGTATAACCTCTGCAGAGAAATCCATGACTTGACTTCCTAGCAAAAATCTCATCAGCATGGGCACAGCTAAGAAAAAAAAAACTACATACAGTATATATATGCACACACACACACTGCTGGGTGCACTGGTTAAATTGGCTTGAGTTGGTTACGTATTCTTGTTTAGCACAGTAAAATCTAAAAAAAAAGCATAGGTGTGGATATACGTGTCCTGTGCTGTGTGCAAGATCGCTGCTCTTTTCTGCAGTGGCATTCCTGTCATGTCCACTCAAGAGTCCCGCTGTGGAGGAGCGCGTGCCCCGGGCTTCCATTCAAAAGGGCACTCCAGTGTGGGTAGACACAGATAGCGTTAAACCAGAGTGCTGGTACTGTCAAGAGTAGAGTATGGAGCTGATCGTAGCAACACCATTTTTAGCTTGTACCTTTTTTACTTTTTCTGGATACTGCTATACTGAAACTGAAGCATGATGAACCTAAACCTACACAGGTAAAATCTAGTGATGCACTGAAAATTGTATCTTTCGTCATTAGGTGGCTCTGAATTGTCAAAACCTTTCTCAAAATGCTCGCTTATGGATGAGAAAAACGCCGAAAATCGAACCCGATCCAATTTTTTTTATGACGGACGAAAGTTTCTGAGGCAGTGATTCCTGACATAGCGTGAGGTTGTATTTCTTTTTTAACGTGCAAACTCATTTCGGGTGCTTTTCCATCAAGTTGTTCGAGTGGATGACATAGTGACTACCTTGTAACCAACAGTAAATAAAACAAGGCCTCCATAGAAAATGGAGACAGGACTGCAATAGTTATTAGGCAGAGTTAAACATTTAGGCCTTCTAGCAGTGCAGCGTGCAATCGCCGAATGCTACGCACAGAAGAAGAAATGTAGAACTTTTGATGAAGGAACTAGCAGCAAGAGCATTATAACAACGTCAAGCCCCATACATATGGGAAAGACAATTTTAGCAGGATTTTTGGGAGGCATTTTACTCGGAGACCAGATTTGAAACGTTAGGCAACATCATTGACACCATCAGTGGAAACAGGCAATTTGTCACATAGGTTTAATGTTCGCTACATCAGAAGTTATTCGGCAAATGCGTTTACTTTGCAACTCCCATTATTCGCAATCGCATTAACTCTTTTTTTGCACAAGTCAAAAACCACCAAATTAATTTATTTTTACATTAGCCGTTTTCATCGCATGTTTCTGATGTGATACTTCCATATGCGCATAACAACAGGGTGATGGAAAGATAGCTAGCGATGTTTCCCAATGATTACGAAATTAAAACTTGAACTTATTGATATACATCGGTCAAAGCACAAAGTGCACCGTTTTAGTCTTTGTATGACTGCGTTTTTTTTTTTTTTTACGATTTGTGCACTTTGAAGAAAACCTGCAGATAAATGGGCATTTATAAAATCACATTACAAATATACAGTAGTCACAACAAAGTCACAATCAAACCACTTATACGTGCATACGAGACATACAAACAAGCAAACCACTGCAAGAACTATTTATGAGATTATAAACAACACATGCAGCATGCATCCCGAAACCGTTTCTAAGCATCATCCTCTCCACCGACAAACCCCAAAGCGTTGAATATGTGTTTACAGAAGGCATGGGAGCTTTTTGGCAGCTAAGATATGCATCCTAGGCCATATTTTAACTGTTAGCCAACTGCAAAGCATGCTAGATAGTGTGACACTAGTGGAATTATTTCTAAGAACAACATATCGTGAAGCACACTGTGTTTTAGAGAAGGTCAAGGGTCACAAGGGAGCAGTTAAATGTCAGTGAACTCAAAACTGGACATGACGACCGGTCTGGGACCCTGATGTCTACATTAACTCTCTGGGCAATAAGAGTAATCTAGAAGGTTAGATGTACATTGTCATGGTTTATTATATTTGGTCTATTATTAGTAGTACTACAGACTAGAGGTGTAATGGTACTGTACATGTATTTGTATTGAACCATTTTGGTTCGAGGCTTCCGGTTCGGTACACATACAAACCGAACGATTCCTTGGACCATTTTTCCTGCCGACAAAATTCGCGCTTGCGCGGCCAACACAATGTTGCGCAACATCAAATGGCAAGCGTAAAGAAAGCGGAACGAAACTGCACTACTCATTATGTGCTTCACGGATCGTTTATCAATTCAGACCAGCAACATCTGTGCAGCGCGAGCCGATCTCGTTCAAGCGACAATGTTACTACACAGCGCTAAGAGATCCGGTAAAGAAAACATTTGAATTCGCCACTGAAGTAATTACATTAGATCTAGTGAGAAGCATTCACATTTCTCCATTATTAACCGTAGCTCTCTATTAGATCAAAAAGCGCTGACGTGGAAACCAGGACAAACATTGTGCCGTGAACGAAATAGTAATACTTTACATGCACAGATCAGCAACATTCACCATGGATTTAATATAGTAACACTAACTGGAACCAGTTTGGCTGGAATAGTGAAATGCTTTCAAGTATTTCACACATCTTTTTCCAGCACTTCAAAACTCAAATTTTATATAAATTAATACATATTTAAATGTTATTTTTAATGTGATGACCAAAACATTATTTGTTCATCCTTCAATGATGACTCCCATTTATAAACCTGAAAGTTTCAAGATGTAGGAAAACTCAAACTTATTTAAAGATATTTTTTCTTTTAACAAAAATTTCTCTGGCATTTCTTTCTGAAAAACGTAACCGTGACTTTAAAACCGAGGTATGTACCGAACCGTGATTTTTGCGTACCGTTACACCCCTACTACAGACATATTAGTGCTTGATCGATAAATAAAAATCAGTGTCGCTCTTTAAGTCAGGCCAATCAGCGCAGTCTTACCTGAACATTCATGAAAGTGAATTTATCACCAGCAACACGAACACACATAGCGCACTATCACTGTGTGAGATCAGACTGATTTCTATTGCATTTCTACGTTTTTTTACTCAATATCACAGAAAGACCAAAAGCTGATATTAGCAATAACGTCAGTCATCTTCAAATCGACACAGCGATAGGCACAGATTTCTACATAACATACCAACCTTTATGGGCACATGCACATTCACACAGCGATGACATCACAATCGGCACTTACCTTCAGGTCTCGGTGCACCACGCCCATTTGATGGCAGTGAAGCACCGCCTCCAGGATCTGCTGGATGCAGTGACTGCATGCAAACAGCAGGGGGCGGAGGTTAGTCTGAGCAGCACTACAGTCCCGTGCACAGGCCAGGGGCGAGGGGGATTTGGGGCAGGTAAAAATCTAAATGGTAGGGGGCAGGGCATCTCTCTAGACTCAAGCCTTGCCTCCATGTAGCTAAATATAAGCATAAAGTAATTGACTATACATATTAATTGAAAAAAAAAATAATATATATATATATATATATATATAATATACAATTGCGATATATCTACAATTAAGACATGGAAGCAACGCTTTGTGCCTATTGAGAGTTCAAGAATATTTCTTTTGTCAACATAATTAGGACCTGTTCTATTAAATCACTGCAAAATACAAGTTCACAAAAGTTTCCTATTGCTTTTCCAGCCAGCCTACTATGTACCTTGAACAGTTTTAATTTTTAGAAAAAAAATATATTCTCAAGAACTGATCTCAAAATGGATTTGAGATCAGCTCATTTAAAAAAAAAAAAGTCAAAAATATAACAAAACTGCATTATCATACACTATCATTCAAAAGTTTGGAGACTTCTTTTAAAGAAATTAATACTTTTATTCAGCAAGAATGCATAAAATGATCAAAAATAAAGTTAAGACTTGTATATTAACAATTATATTTAATATCAATAGTAAATCAACATATTAGAAGGAACATGTGCTACTGAAAACTGGGGGTCTGAAAATTTAGCTTTGCCATTTCACAGGAATAAACTATATAAAAAAGTAACCGTTATTTTAAATTGTAATACTATTTCAAAATATTGCTGTATTTTACTGTATTTTTGATCCAATAATTGCAGCCTCGGTGAGTATAAGAGACTAAGAAAATATTACCAACCCCAAACTTTTAAACTGTAGTTTAAGAAAAAAAAACTGTTTAATGTGCCTGACAAGACCTGTTGTTGTTGTGTATGTTGTTGTTATGTTTTTATTTTATTTTTATTGTATTTATGTGCTGCTGTGACATATAAATTTCCCCCCTGGGATTAATAAAGTAAATCAAATCAAAGTGAACACATTAAAAAAGCCTTCAAAATGCAAAGCAAAATTTAGGTAATAGCCCAAAACCTGTGTGCCAAATTTTGCTATTTTTTCACGTTTACATAACCCAGCATAGTCATGTATGTACACATATTAAATATAGAATCGCAATATATTAGATAAAAGTCAACCACACAAAAACGTTGAGATATTAAACATTAAATTATTTCAATTACAAGTCCATTTAATCTACAACATTGCGGCAGATTTCTATACCCGCTGGATTCTGCTAATTGCTGCTTGCAGCTCTACTCTTCTCCTTCTCCCAATAGGGAAGTAAAAGAGGCTCTTAGAAATCAAACCTTTATACGGTGAATCATACAGAGTAGCACAGCAGAATATCTATGCAGTCTTTGATCAAATATAGTGACATGAGAGTGTAATGTGTGAGTGTTAAGAAGTGTAGGATATCAGCAACACATGCACGCACACACACACACACGGACCCCTACATGTTGCTATGCACAGGTGCAGCCTGCGCCTGGGCGAGACCGAATGATGGTTTTGGTATTTAAGTTAACAGCCCAAACCCAGATCCGACATCCAAGTGATAATACACTAAGGGTCACTGAGGTTGGCTCGTAGAGGAAAAGGCTAAATCAATTACGTAAATCAATTAATATTGTAAATGTCTCTCTAGGTCAAAGCTATTCCAATATACAGCACATGCCCTGAGTCCAATCTTTCAATGCTGGAAGAAAAATCCCAAAGATGGGAGTGTTCTAGCTGTTCTGGAATCACACACATGGAAGGTGGACAGTAAGAGCGTTTGCAAGCTAAAGTTACAGAAAGCAGTGTGTTTGAAGGTCATGTGATATGGCGCAACTGTGAATGACATTAACTAAAGCTACAAATTTACTCTACACTTGCATTTAAAAGATTAGGGTCAGTTAGTTGTTGTTGTTTTTTTACATAATTAAAATACATATTTTTTTTCAACAAGGACACATTAAATTGTTCAAAAGTGACAGTAAAGTCATTTATAATGTTACAAAATATGTGTATTATTATTATTTTTTCTACATCAAATAACCCTGACAAGTCATGGCTCCTGAAAATGCAGATTTGTCATCACAGGAATAAATTACATTTAAAACTATACTATTACGGTTAAAAGCGTATTTTAGATTGCAATAATATTTCACAGAATTCCTCTTTTCTGTATTTTTTTAACAACTAAATGCAGCCTATGAGCATAAAAGACTTCTTTCAAAAACATTCAAGAATCTGACCTCAAACTTTTGAAAGATTGTGTATTACCAGGCATCAATACAAGTATTTCAATAGAATTATTATTTATTTATTTTTCTGAAAACACCTATTAAAATGCCTTTCAGCTCATTAATGTCAACATTCGCATGAGAAGCAAATGTACATAAAGATTTTTTCTTTTTTCTTAAGAAATCTAATCGCAATATAAGGATGCAATATATTTGCGGTCTGGCTTCAGAGATTGTGCCATTAAAAGGCATAAAAGCTATAAGACTTTTCATTTAGATTCAAGATTTGCTTCTGACAAAGTCAATTTAGTCATTCCAATTAGTATTAAGACCCTTTTATCTAAAATGATTAGCAAATTTACCATCATATTTAAAGACTGTAATACATTAAAATTAAAAAAAAAATTAATCTGCAAAAAACCGACACATACTCGAAGATGATTTTGTCATTCTGTTCTGCCCTACAAAGCCAAAACAGTGTAAATTATTACAATTACATAAAACTATTTAAAGCAATCTATTCTTAATGACCACATTTAATCTTTAATAAAGAACTTTGAGATGCATTCTTGATAGGGTCAGTGCTGCATAAATAACGTTATAGCTGTGATTATTATTATCCATGTGCAGTGTGCACTGCATGAGTTTTCTGGCATGGCAGTAAAGTTCAGGGCTGTAAATTAAAGTGCTGCATTTGCTTTCTAAATGTCTCCCATTAAAAGACCACAGAGCATGACATATGGTCATGGCAAGTGTAAGACAGAATGTCGCTGAAAAAAGCGAGTGAATCTGCCTATAAACGTATGAGCGCATATATGGACATGTTAAATATCCATATATGTGTGCCTTCATCATAGTGTGTTCATGTGTGTGTGTTTCTTCACACCTCCCCCTGTGTCAGCTGCTGATCATAGCTGGTCTGCAAGAGAAGATGTGTGTGTGTGTGTGTGTGTTAGGGTGAGACAGGAAGTGTCACTGTGTTTCAGCAAAAAATCTCCACTCGAAAGAACTGCTGTGGACATTAAAACGTCTAAAAATGTACTAAACTCACTGTGCTGCCCTTTCTATTAGCTTTATTTCCTGTACTAACATCAGCATTAAAGTATTTGAGTCTCTTCTCCTACGCTGCATAAGAAGCAATTTAAACTGCTAACTTTTTTTGCAAGAATCTACACTAAGACGCAAAATAACAAATCTAAAAAAAAATATATTTGCAAAATTTCATTAAAACCTAGCATTGTTTCATCAATGACTGGTAGTTCATGATGACACAGTTTATCTTTCAAGTACTAATAAGACTAATGCAACTGAACTCTGGGATACTAGTGTGGCAATAAAACAAGATCAGCTGCTATAATATGTCTTGTGCTGAGCGCATGCAGACTAGTGCAATGTGGAAAACGAGGATGGAATCACAAAATCCAGTCATAAAAATGTAATTTAATGTATCACATGAAATTTTATGGAATTTGGAAAGAAATTATGAATAAATCAGAAGTAGGGCTGTGCACTTAATCAAATTGCAATATTAACTAGTGTCTGTGAATATTAAAGTGCAAAAATGCCATACGTGTCTGTGTGAATAAGCGGACCGGTGCAGTTTCGTCTAGTTCTAGTACACAGGTTTAAGGAATATCACACAATATTGCATGTTTTAATTTAAAACACTAAACCTCTGTTGTGCAGCGCTTCATTTGCCCAAAAATATGGAAGGAATTGTTCATTACATTTTAAACGATTAATTAAATTGATAAAGTTTGCAATGCATTTACTTAATTACAACCTTTTTAAAATAAATTGTTAAAAATGTAATAAAATTATTAAATCGTTAATAGCTGGATTTCAGTCACGTGATTATGATGACGCGCGAAATTCAGATGGAGGGCAGGGAGTGAAGAGCGCAATGGACGAGATGGAGGAAAGTCTAATACTGTTCTACTAGAGAAAGATATAAACAAAAATCAAATGTTGGATGTGATCCTTATTTTATGAAGAGGAGTGATTTTTCAACTGAATTGAGATTTTCCTGCCATCGAGGCAGGAAAGTTCGGAAACTGGTACGTTACACAAACAAAGCCACTTAAATTGAATAAACTCACCTTTGACGAAGTGATCACTGCACAAACAGGCATTTTCTCATTCTGCTCCCCCTGAACGCAGACGTATGTTTGCAAGCAGTTTTTACAGAGTTTTTCAGACAATTTCTTGCATTTTCCCCCCTTATGAACAACAACTTTTGGTACACGATTAAAAACTCCACGTGGTTTGATCGATTTAAGTAACCATAAACTTTGCAAAACAAAGGCATTTTGAGTTTGTTATAGTGCTTTCTAAATACAGCAAATCACTGCCTGCCCTCCATTTGCATTTCACGCCATGGCAACGCATTGGCGTGACGTCATATGAAACCCAGCTATTGACTATTAAATAAGATGATATTTAGAAAAAAAAGATAAAACTGATTTCATAGGGCTCTACGACCTCAATCAAATATTGGCCCGGGGTTTCTGACACAGAAAACATGGTACATACCGAATATTTTAACACAGTGATTTAAGGATGTTTATACAAAGAACCACTATGAAACTTTAAATACACAGTATCAGAATGAAAATATCATTTAAGGGATAGTTCTGTTATCATTTACTCACCCTTATGTCTTTCCAAATCTGTTTGACTTACTTTCTTCTGCGGACATGCAAAGAAATGCATACAGGTTTGGA